CCTATGTCGCCTACGGCTGCATTTTGAGCGCGCAGGCCTCGTGTCTCTTGTAGATTCATCCTTCTGGGAAGCTTTTCGTGCTTTCGGATGGAGAAGGGAAGCATACAACTGTGGAGCTGAGCGAACCTGTAAGTTAAGGAGTACTTAAGAGCTGGGTCTGTTTAGCCTGGAGAAGAGGAGACTGAGGGGGATCTCATTAATGCTTATAAATACCTAACGAGTGGGTATCACGAGGATGGGACCAGGCTCTTCTCGGTTGTGCCCAGTGATGGGACAGGGGGCAATAGTCACAGACTAGTACACAGGAGGTTCAACCTAAACAAGGAAAAACTTCTTTACTGTGAGGGTAACAGAGCACTGGAACGGGCTGCCCAGAGAGGTTGTGGAGTCCCCTCTGGAGACATTCAAAACCTGCCTGGACATGTTCCTATGTGATCTTCTCTAGATGGTCCTGCTCTAGCAGGGGAGTTGGACTGGATGATCTTCAGAGGTCCCTTCCAAGCCCTACCATTCTGTCATTCTGTGACTTTGGAAATACTTGGTGGTGTCTCTTGTGGATACTGGAGGTTTTGTCCCTTCTGAAACTTGTACGTGTCTTGCGTGTATTGAGTTTTTAGTCAGGGAAAAAAGTAATCCCTGGTTTCTTCTTTTTCCATTTATGTTTCATTGCCTCAGCTTCTTGCAGCTTCCAGATGACTTGCAGTCTTCGTACTAATGAACTGCCTCGGTCTTCATCAGTTTTCAGCTGGTGTTAAGAGAGAGAGTTCATATCTTGTCAGGCACATCTCTGGCTACTTTTCTTAACTTTATTTGTTGGTTACAGTGTAAAAGATTCCACTACACAATGGCTTGAAGCATTCTTTCCAAAAAAAAACCAACCACAGAATCTATCAAAGCAGTGGATGCAAGATATGCCAATAACTACTGTATAGAAATATGTCTTCCTTTGTCATCACATACCACTAAGGGAATAACACCCAGACATTCTCTTCTGTCTTTGTGTGTTTTTTTTTCCTCTAAGAAATGTTGTAATTAAAGGATTATTTTCATTGTGGTGGGAAATAGTCCAGCTTAACTGCGCATGTGTGTAGTCTTTCCCTCTTCTTCTCTGAATGAGTTTTTAAACACTGAGATACTTGGCAAATTCCATGTGAACTAATTGCACATGATACTCTATGACTTTCAAGATAGGAGTGTCACGTTTTTGATGAAAAATGCAGTTTGATCTCGCAAATACTTTTGTCTTACAAATGTGAAGTTTGCTGACTTAATCTTCAAACTGCAAGAAAATGTCTTTCCTACAAGTTCTGCCTGTACCTCTTTCTTGAGCTTATGAAAAGGTTTCCTGCCTTGGGTTGTTAATTTTCAGGTGTCAGCATCTGGCCAATGCTTCCACAAGTTTCCATAACTGAGTGAATGGTCAAATTTCATAAATGCATAGCTGCAATGTTAGGTGCTTCGCAGTCTGTAGTGTTAAGTAAGGGAGGAGAAACTGGTTTCTGCAGTAAAAATATGCCAGGTTCATCTGTCTGGTGTGCCTCACATAAATGGATGAACTTCTACATTTGCTAATCAAAATGCTTTCTGATTTTCCCCCCTCTTTTTTTGTGGGTGTGTAGTTCCTCCTTTCAACAGGGAAACCCATAATTCTGGGGAGGAAATCTACTGCTGTGTTCCAGGAAACTTGCTAGAAAGCTAAAAGAAAGAGTAAGGCATTTAAAGAACATTACTGAAATATTACTGCACTCTTAATACCTTATAGCTTGAACATGTTTTGGGGGTTTTTTAGTATTGTTTTGGAGTAAGAGAAAAATTTTAGCCTGTTTTTTTTTACCTTCTTCAACCAAAGGCTTGTTTTTGTCATGGTCTTTGTATACTGAACATTTACTGACAGATTACTTAATTTCTGATAATACTTTCTGAATCTGGAATACATCTCTCTGGCGTGTGTGATACCTCATTAGCTCTTACAAAGTTAGGTAATTTTCTCAGGTTTGAATACTATGTGTTAAAGTCTAGATTCTTCTGCTCACTGTGTCCTAGATTAGTCTCAGTTCAGTGATTAAATGACACAGCTTTACATACTTATAAATGGTATCTTCCCTCTGATGCTGCTGGGTTTTTTTTGTGTTGGTACTGAATTGGATGTTAGAAAAACTCAAAATCTAAGTGGCTCAAGGCTTTTGTGGGTTCTCTTTTTTCAGAAAGGGACAGGGATGTTCAGTAGTACTGTAATTGTTTGACATGGAACAGAATCTGTTGTCATGAAAGTCAGTCATGGAGGGTTCCTAGCTTAAGTGCTGTGCAGTAGAGACAGCAGCTAATTTACTGATACAGATTCCGTATTTGGTGTGTTTTCTAGCTAGATGAAGAGATCTCAGGAGTTCTTGAAGTAGTGGGAAGAGTAACAAATCAGGCAACCATCATGTGCATGTCATACGTCCAGTTCAGAGAAGATAAAAGTCCATTTGGTGAGTAAGAATATACATTATGACAAATCCATTTTGTATTTTCTTCTTCAATAAGTAAGAAGGGAGAGCCTGATTGGTTACTTACAGACAAGGTCTTTCTTCAAGCTGCCAGATATGGAGTAGAATGTAGAAAAGGAGAGCATCATGGGAAAAATTCTGTATGAAATACATTGGTTTACTGTCAAACTGTAGGGACTGAGTTGAAACAGGAGCCAGTCTTGATCCATGGTCTGATCAGTTCCCTCACTCCCAACTGCAAGGTTCCTGCCTTGCACTGGACACCTTGTGTGATTGTACACCTAACAGGCCTAAATATAACCCTCCGGAAAGCAAGCAATGAGTGTGGCTCTCATTGGGAAAACTGGGGAGGATGAGGGGGACTAGGAACGCTGATGTACTGCTTTAAAATAAGCAGTGCTTTAATGCTGTCATTTGCTTGCAGGAAATTTAGCTCAGGCATCACAACCATTTTCTTTGCCCTCTTTCAGATCTGGAACTCTACAATGAAGCACTAAAAATTATTCATGAATTCCCTGAATACTTCCCATTCGGTACTGGGAGGAACAGTTGATTTTTCTTAGCATATATTTGGAGCTTCAGAGGGGACAACAGTACCGTAGCTTTCTTGCTTCACAGCATGGTAACAGTTGCATTTATTTTCAACAAATATAACAGCATCTTTTCAGTATATGTGCTATGTATGACCAGTGAAGAATGTTTTCTTTCAAAATTAGATTATGCAGCAAGAAGGAGATACCCACTTACATGGGTGTCTCACTGTCTGTATATATTTAACCCTTTTGCATCCATGAAGAGTGTTCTCTTGCAGGATTAGACTTGTTAGAATTGAATTTTTGCAGGCATCTTCTTGTTGTTGGTAGGGCTTCTAGGATACTTTACAGGAAACTCAAAGATGTTGGGTAGGGTTTCAATGTAAAGATTTTATTTGTTTTGATATAAACTTATTGAACATGGAAAGGGTATTTTGCATCTTGAAAGTGGTTTCTTCCCCAATAAAAAAAGATCTGACTACACCTAACTGTTCATGTCAGTGTTACATGTCAGAGTGCTGTTTTCAGTGATAGATGGCGATTTGTATTCTGTTTTACCTGACACAGGTAACTTAAATTTAACAAAGTGGAGTACAAGGTACTTGCCTTTTGCACTGATGTTAAACACTTGGAAGATGTTTAGTTAGGCTCGGGCATTTCAAGCACTATTGAGTTCCCATCACAACCTTCATTCTTGGTGGGGGTTTTGCAGAAGTACCAGATTCAGCCAGCATGTCATGGTGACTTTAATAATACAAAACTTCCACACATATCCCAGTTTTGTTACTATCCAGGCTACTTGCAGCATGGAGCATAATTCTAACATCTCTTAAGGTAACAGTCAAATTTAACTTTGGAAATATTCTCTGTGAATTACTAAATAAAATTTTTCAAGCTAATTTAAATAAACCTTATAGCCATATTCATTAACCTTTCATATAAACAGGTTTCAGGTTTAGCAGCTAAATTTAGTGCCTTATTAATATTGCTAGCTTTATGCTTGTTTATAGACATCTCCATTTCTAAGTCAGTTAATTTCTTCATTTTAAAGACTTCTTATTTATCAAAGTTACTACAAACTGGGTGGATGATCAAGTTAACAGAAAAATCTGGTTTTTCATCTGTTCTTAGAAGACAGTGACAGAGCTACTGTCACTGGGAAGGAGAGTTTCTGAAGTATGAGTCAGTGTCATAGAGCAAACAAGAACATGAGATCAATGTGGTATGATGCCATGCTCTGTCCTGTAGTGCTATCACAGCTATGTTTTAGTGCTTAACAGGATTCTGTAAAATAAAATGATATTGTTAATAACTGCATCCTTGTTTTCCTAGCATTTATGTAAGTCTTTAGTATTACTTTATTTAGAAAATTTCTATGTTGTGCATGTATACATACTATGTGAAATGTTATGTGCAAATACTTCTTGGTTACCAAGACTATCCAGGCCTAATAAAATAGCCTACTACCAGCTGGCTGTAGCACTTTACACCCGTACAGAAACCATGCTTGGATATGTGGTGGTGTGTGTAAATATTTGAACACATCTGAGTGAGAAGCGCAACAGTTTCCCTTTGTCACTCAAGACTCTTCTTTTTCATTCAAGTACATCTTGTACATTGGCAAGCAGTATACAGCTACAAGTTTTCCCTGTGCTTTTCATTCACCTGCTTCTCCATAGACAGCTGAGGTTTGTGAATAACTGGTCTACACTGGCTACGTGGCTATGCTAACAAGATGGCAATACAAGGAACTGTAGAATATTCTTCATGTTAAAGGAAAAGTAATGCTTGGGTCATATATATGCACTTACCAGTGGGACTGCCAGTGATTCCAGATACCAGGGGCTTGGTAATGCTGTTAGGACTGTACTAACAAGATAAAGGTGTGAGAATCTGCCTGACCTTGCAGATAATAATAATAGTGGCTTTGTGGATCCCTGACTGAAGGGGAGTCACCAGGGCAACTGTATCATAAACACTGAAGAGGTTGTCACCAAAACCAGGGCCTCCTGTAACATCTGGCATAGTTGGCAGATACTGATCTAAGTAAGTCTAACTGGAAAAAAAACAAATTTAGTATAAAAGTATGGATTGAGCAAGATTGTTGTTGGAAAGGTGGAAAGGGGATTGAGCAGGTCCCAAACTGGGCTCCTTTGGCTGCAGTGGAGGTTAGGCTTTAGCAGAAGCTGGGTAACTGATCACTTCAAAAATGAGTTTTACTTAGGGAACCTACACATGGGATGAAAGAATCTCTGCACTCTGGGAGGGCAGTGGCACAGGTGCATGCCACCAACTCTTGTGTGGAGTCATAAGAGATTGCCACTGTAACAAGGGCCATGTCACATCCAGGCACCCCCTCCTTTCTCCAGCCAAACCTCTCCTTGGTGAGTCTGGTTGACGTGGAAATCATAAGTCGGTTAAGTCACTCCTGTTCAAAGACCCAGTCAGTGGGACAGGAGGACTCCTAGGTAAGGAGCTGGGAGCAGCCCTCCTTGTGGGCCAGCAAGCTACTGTTACTGCTCTCTCTGTTCTGACAGCCCAGCAGGGGAATGGTTTTATGTCCCAGTTGGTTAAGGTACGGAAAGCAGTCTGTGAGTCTGAAATGGAGGAACAGACTAAAATGTGGCAAATGCTCTTGGGGAAATTCCATTCTAGTAGGGATCTTGAGGGAGGCCACCAGAATGCAGCTGTGCAGTAAAGTACTGTGCAGGAACCTAGGGCTGCACATGGGAGGCAAGGAGAAGCCTCATCAGGGGTGTCACTGCAGACTTACCTGGCACTCACTGGACTGTTGCCTTAGCCTGGTCACCGTCACCAGACCAGCTCTGCTGTCCTTGGGCACGGACACATGCACAACTCATGTTGGACTCATGGGCAAGCAGCCTGGGCATACAATAACAAAGTGCCTGCGCTTAATCAGGGAAGGGAGGCAAGGCTGGCACAGATAATGAAATGAAGATAATGAAATGTACTCAGCACAAATGATAGGGTCAAAACATTTTAACATGCAAGGCCACCTTCATCGAGTTAACACTCAGAGCTGAGCAGGTATCAGAAAACTGTAAATGTAAAAGAAACTGCAGGTAATAAAATGGCTGTAGCTATACTTTTTGTTAGAAGAAATCACCCTCAAAATAGCAGCTTTATTAATTTAAAAGCAAAACAAGGAAAAAACCTGGTCATTCGAAAACGTACACCTCTTGGTAAATTTTGCAAATAGTGTAATTACTGGCCTGAAGGCCTGATTACCAATTACAACAGCCAAAACTGTTATATTGTGCCAGAGGATGCATATATTCATAATCCAAAACATTTCAAAGACATGCTGAATATCAAAGTAAGCATCTAATTTAATGAAATGATAGAATTTGACACAAAGAGGTATAGTGAAGTCAAAAACACTATAAATGAGTTTTCTTTACATAGGAAAATGAGACTAAGTTAGTAGTTGCATTCACTTGGACATGGAAATTTACCAGGAAAATTTACTAAATGCTGTTTATAGAGAGAAATAAAAACATACCCTTGACACTTACAAATCCTCATTTTCATGAAGTAAAAGTTTTATTGCCTGTATTTACATATAAGATATCATACCTTAAACCCCAGGTTACATTTATAAATGGAGAACATTTAGAAGAACTTTTCAACAGCAACATAGTGTGTGCAAAAATACGGGAAAGAGAAATAAATATTTTAACAAGAAAAAAAAGCAACTGCTCTCCCATGCCTACAAATGTGAGGTACCTCTTAGATTTTTAACTGTAAAAAGATCTTTGTCAATTAGGCAAGAATTTTAGATCAGAATTAATGTAGCAGACGTTTTACAACATTAATGCTAAATCAGAAAATGTAACCCAAAGTCCTGGATGTAATCATGTACATCTACAGAAAATGTTTCCACATGCTATCTTTTTGCAACAACACTAGAGCACTTACAACTAGTGGTATCTTACAATATGTTCTCTTTTAAAACACCAGTTTTCACAGTCCTGGCAATATGGTACCAGTTTATTGCTAGCATTCAATTTAGTATTTCATAGCACACAAGTGTTAAGTAACTCATTTACTGTTTCTACTAGTAAATAAACACACACCAAGTAAACTGATGTTATTATCACATACCTTAAAACAGGTTGGTTTTGGTTTTTTTTTTCCCCCTAATTTGTGTGAATTTTGTTGCCTACAAAATCAAGGACAATACCAATCAGCTCTTTGCACAGTAGTGGCAAAGTATCACCAACTCTCAAGTTAATAAATAATTCCAGCTGGTAACATAGCTAGAACTACTTCTGGTCAATGACCTAAAATTATGCAGCCTTTTGGAAGCAGACTGTTGTCCACTACTGACCAGAGGCAGGATTTATATACGTTGATTTCACACCTCCCAGCGTATTTCAGCAGTACAGGGAAATGCTGATTATCCGTAAGTCTTCCAATATTTTTATAGTCAAAACTCAGCATGTAGTTTAAAACGTCAATATTTACAAGTCTCCAGTCCTTGACATTTCAGATCTTCACAGTACTATCTTAAAAATTAATAAATCAAATGAAACCTCCTACAGACACGTGCCTTTTCAGGGAACTCCTCTAGGATACAGACATCGCTAGGAGACAGAACCTCCAAATTCTTTAGCATTAAAATTCACATCAGCTAGGTAGGTAAATTAAATAAGACCTTGAATTGCAAAGATACTGCTTTACTATTAACAAAACTTGGGAACAGAAATTAATGGATTTTTCTTTAAAATAAAATCTTTAGAATACAATGAACAGTGGCACTTTGAAAGAACTTACAAGGAAATTATTGTTTGCATACAAGAAAGTGTGATCAAACAATGAATGGAGGAATCCACAGCATCACTCTGATCTTCTGAACACTTTTCAGGTGTTTAATATGAAGGCCCACTTTCACTAAACACAGCATATAAACGCTGCTTTGTTTGTAATCAAGTAAAAGGGCTGATCAATTCCCTGAAAAGTATTAAAAGTTTTAGCAAAACCAAAGAATCCACAATTC